ATTGTTACTTATTTTGCATGTAAATGGGATTCTTTCATTTGTATTTCATTTGTCTTCGATTAAAACTACGTGATAAGATTGTCATGATTGATTGTATGTAACGTGAGTGGAGCCCGGAATTTGGTAAATTGCTATTAAAGTTATGATTCCACAGCAATTAAAGAGGTCATTTACATATTGTGTCAAAATAAAAGCTCTTCTAAAGAGTCGACTTTGTGATAAAAGTTTCACTTGATAGTTAATTTGTTCTTTCATTTATTCAATCTTCTACACAAACGAAACGAGTAATATGTATTCTATAATTTCATTCTAAGTCGATGATTTCTACCTCTTAGACAGTGACGATGTGTCATATGATCAAGAATGGTCCACGAGTGTATATAGTTGCACCTGTTTGACTAGAATTATTCATAGTTGCAGAATGAAGACTTAATTTTTAGGGTCGAGCTACAGTGCTCGCATGGATAACTGCGGAGTTGACACAACACACACTTGAGATTCGGGATTATTTTATTCATGGAGATCCACGTCGAGGCATATGAGGGCACAGTCACCTCACGGGTTGTGTGGCTTAACTCTAATTTTTACTCAACTATTGACGTCAATTTAGAATCTCCGTAAGAGTGCATAATGGAAAGCATTAAGTGCACATGTCTTGGTTAGAAAGTCAATTAAGTTATTATGACACAGAATCTCTTGGTAACAATATTCTTCAGATTCTGTTAAGTTTTCACACCAAATAAGGTACGAAGGAGAATGTTCAAAGAGAAACGGCAGTGATGAATATTATTCTCAACGGTCAATTATAAAGGAGCATCGGTTTGATGTTATATAAATAGGGCTAAAAACTTTCTTGTAGCCTCGTCTCGGTACTTGTTTGATGTAGATTTTTAGTCGATAAAGTTAATGAAAAGTAATAAATTTCATAAAATATGTGATAAAAAATGAAATTTGATAATTTTACCAAACTGTAGTAAAAAGTAACTTTATAAAACAATCAGTTACTTTCGATCCTTATTTTATAAAATTCATTTTTTTCTCAAATTTATTTTGAATTGCACATTTTATGGGATCCACAACTTTTATCTATTTTTCAATCATACATTTCCTTAATTTTTATCAAAATTTTCTAAAATTTTAAATAGCTAAATCAAGCAAGGGCTTAATCCCTATTCCAAAATGATTCATTTATACCTTTTTCATGGATGACGGACCAGGTCATCTTGTGTCTTGAAGTTCGATTCACTTTGTAACATTGATTGTATGTCATTGGATGCACTTGATATGCATGTTTTGCTATTGTAGATCGTTAAAAGAATGAAGAAACTAATTCTTGTAAAAAAAAATAATAATAATAAAAAAATGGAGAATATGACTTATGACCAAACACTTGATATTGAAAATAAATGGTTTAAAATGTCGAAATATGATGACAATTATGGGGGGGACTACAAGTTAACTAACACCTAATAAAATCTCCAAACCCGTCAATAATTCATTGTCTTGTCCGGTAATATCGATTATTTTGCATTAAATAGTATTAAAGAAGAAAAAATTATCAGGGATATTTTACCTTCCATATGAGTTTATCTTTGTTCGAGAGATTATTTGAAACAAAAACGATTTTTTATAATGTAAAGTTGTGTTCACGAGTAAAATTATTTTTAAAAAGAAGATAATTTTCAAATAAATTATCCAGTAGAAAAATCTGGCTTTTAAATGTTGCAGAATCTTCATCATAATAAAAAATATATATATATACTCAGTCCAACTCACGGCCTATTAATCAATAGGGAGAGAGAGAGTGAAATATTTATAATTCTCTCTGGCCCCACCCAAAAAAATAAATATTTTTCCTTTTTTTTAATTATATGTGTGAGTACTGAATGTGACACATGATAATAATTCCACCACTCATAATCATATCCCAGAAAATTACCAGAAAGACTACAGTGTACAAGCCCCAAGAATCTGTGTGGAATCATGGTGTCCAAATGTTTCAGCTTCCATCTTCATCCCCATCCCCACCTTGCACTCTCCTCAAATGGCAAAATCAATATCCCAAAAACCTTAATTCCTAAACAAATTTCCATCCAACATCAAATTTACTCCAATTCCAATCAAAAGAGATGTCATTTTGTTACACAAATGGCATCATCAAGTCAACTCCAATTTGATGATCTTGATTCAGATCCTACCCTTATCAATGATGATCTCCGCCCTACGAATTCCAATCAACGAACGTTTTCCGGGGTGGAAATGGCCAGTTTGTGGGTGGGGCTTGTGGTAGGTGTGCCATCATATTATCTTGCTGGTAGCCTAGTTGACCTTGGTATGTCATGGTGGCAAGGAATTGCCACTGTTGTTGTGGCCAACATAATCTTATTTGTCCCATTAGTCCTCACTGGACACCCTGGAACACGGTACGGGATATCGTTCCCAGTCTTGGCTCGATCGTCGTTCGGTATTCGCGGTGCACATATTCCAACTCTTTTAAGGGCATTGGTTGGTTGTGGCTGGTATGGAATTGAAACATGGATTGGAGGTGAAGCAATTTTTCTTCTATTGCCAAAAGCCATTAAAGAATCTTCAGTTTCTCGACCTGTTTCTTGGCTTGGAACTTCCCCTCTTGAATTTGCTTGTTTTATTATATTTTGGTTAGCCCAATTGGGAATTGTGTGGAAAGGAATTGATGGAATCCGTGAACTAGAAAAATACTCTGCCCCAATTCTTATTATTCTCACTTCTTGTCTTCTTATTTGGTCCTATGTTAAGGCTGGTGGATTCAGTCACATGCTATCTTTATCTTCAAGACTCTCATCTTCAGAATTTTGGTCACTTTTTTTCCCATCACTAACGGCAAATATAAGTTTTTGGGCTACTCTTGCGCTCAACATACCGGACTTTACCCGGTATGCCAAGAGCCAAAGGGATCAAAT